ATACCCACATTGCGTGTGTTAGTGCTAGATTTGTTCTAACTAGATTATATGAAGACATTTTTTTAGAAATGAATACAGTCACATCTTCATTCGTCGCATTAATATTAAAAAACTTGCAAACCAACCATTTTTCGAGGTTGTTGTGTTTCATTAAAAAATTGTTTTGGGTCACCAAAATTTTTCTCTTTTATTTTTGCCCATAATTAAAAACGTTTGCTCATCATTGATTAATACTATTTAGCAAGTCACAAAAGCACTTTGTATAGCTACAATTAATTCTTTCGAGAGTTAGCTTTAAATTTAAAAATATATATTTGTTTTCTATCGAATTTTTTTGAACATAGCGTGCATCACTTTAAAAAAACTTCTTTCAACTTTACAAATGGGAATCAAAATTCAATGAATCGTTTTGAACAGTCCCACTTGTCTACTTCCAGTATATTGCTTTCAATCAGAGCGGTGTTTAAACTTTAGAACTTTTCAAACATCATTCTAATCATACATATCACATACGCATTTCAGAACGGGGAATTCTGTGCACTGTAAAATTGAAAACTGCGTTTTCATACAGTTTTTTCCCCCATGGCAATTGTACCCTCTGTGACTTTCGTGACCAATCCACGATTGGTTTCTCAACATGCCGAAAGCTGACCCCTTTTCTGGACCACTGAACCGGTGTTTAAGTAAAGAGATGAAAGGGGGAGAAACCAGGCCCAGTACCACCCCTTCCCTGTCAAAGGCCTGTCTTCAACCCCAAGGGACTAGATTCTACCAGTTCCGACCAAATGTGCGTAATCTCGAAGTGCACCCTAGGGCAGAGCGCACATTGCGGCAACCGCTGTTGACAAGCGGTTTCATCAAGGCTGGTAGAAATAAATTTAATTTGTTGTGTAAATAAGGAATGAGGCTGCTCTCTCAATTAATTGGCCCTGCGCCCGATCTCCCCGTGCGACTTCTATCTCGGAATGATGCGGCGCTAAAGCTTCCTGCAGACAAGATATAGATAATCCGGAGAGACTCCGACGATGCACTTAGAAAGTGATTGAAACCCGACAATAATCAAAATTGGAAGACTGTTAAACAGAAGGTTTGTGCGCAAATCGGAAGCCAAGTGGCACTTGATTGCTGGCGCGTTTTGGGGCACAGCTTTTGGATTAGTGTATTAACTGATTGAGAAGTGATGGACAATTCGTAGTGGCCGTTTAGGGGTGGAGAAGGACGATTTTGACGGAAGGTATCGAAACTGGCCATTTGATTTTCGGAAATGTAATCAAAGCTTTCTGATGATAATCAATTAAGACTTATATTTCGAGCTCGTTGAAAGATATTGCGAATGAACAAGAATAAATAACAATTTAAGTGCTTACTACATATGTGTATCAAGCCAAATGGTAAATGAAAAATATAAAAATGATACAGAAAATAGAATATTTTCATTATTAATACAGAAGTTGGGAGGATAAATTGTGTAACATTAATAAATATGACTAATTAAATGTAACAATTAATATATTTTGGATTCGGTTAATCATAGCTTTTTTAAAAATAAGGGGAAAAAGTAGCATAATCACATTGGTACTAGAAACATGAATAAAAAAAAAAAAAAAATAAGATACTTCTATGTAATAATGCCAATCTAGATTTAAAAATATCAGCATGAATACAATTTTCAACAATGAATACGTTCAGCAAAATAAATTATCTTTCTATAAATAAGAAAATTTCTTACGTAAACATAAATATGTGTTAATATTTACATTTCGCATATTAAATTTTTGTTGACAAATTATTTGAAAATTCTCTAGCGGCTTAAATGGTTTTGTGAAAACTAAAAATGTATATTGAGATGTTTACTTATTTTTTAAATGGAACTGAAATATTTTCAAAGTTTCAAAACAACTATCTCAAGCTATTGGAGTTATACAGTAAGGCTCATTTAGATTCACTTCACATACTACGTCTGATATTTTTTCTATCTTTATAAATTTATGAGATATTTCATTAATTATAGATTAATAAAATGGGACTTTAAGAAATCAGAATAACTTAGCCTAATAATAAATTCACAGCAGAATTTTAAATGTTAGGCTGAATAAAGAAGTAATATTTTTATGCATTAAATACGTTTATCCTTACTATAGTCCTGAAAAGCAATTAAAGAAATCATTCCTCGAGAACTTTATTTATACGTTCGTCACTTAAATAAAAACGGAGATTAATCATCCAAAAACGCAATTTAACTACTAAATTATTAATTTTTGAAATTAAATACATAATGAAATAATATGGAATGATGGAGATGATTTAAAAGGTACGATGAGAGATATCACAAAGAAAATTTCAAGAAAAAGTAAACTAATTAACTTCCATTCCGAATCTGAATTCCTAAATTATTCATTTTAAATTAATTATGAATTCTTAAATAATCAATTCAGCTACATTTAAGGATTTTATATTTAGTATAAAGAAAATGAAGATTGCTCCTTTGAAGAGAGTATACAATTCATCTTTATCAGTTAAGGAAAGAGCTAGAAGCAATAATTGCAAATTTGTTTGCGGAGCGTTTTTGCATCTGTTTTTAAATGCAGGCATTTTTTAAAGATTATTTTATTTACGTTTTATTTATATATTTTAAAACTGTAATCAAAATAATTGAGAGACTTTTTCAATTTTTTGATTATTTTTTTTTTAAGTGATCGTTTTGATTCTTTTTGTGAGTTAAATCAGTTAACAGATTTATTACATTTTTTTCTCATTTCTTCCAATTTTTTCTTAATATTTTTTTTCTTTAAACATTTAATTCCTAGTCTATTTATGATGTTTTATTAACATCCTATCACAATTATTTCTTATTTTTATTGTACAAAACCATATGGTCTACTGCATTAGATGAAATTTTAAAAAAATTTTCAATTCGGTGATGCATCATTTCAAATGAAAATAATCTAATTTTTTCTGCATTTATAAAAGAAAAGACTTACAAGAATTGAGCTCTTACGACTGAATAATACATACTTAAAATGTACAACCAAGAGTTATTATTTTCGATAGAATTATCCATGTTATGATTTATTTATATATTCTCAAAAATTTTTAATTAAAATCGTCATATCACTGACTTAACGATATACATTCTAGACATTTCTATTTCTATAGGTAGCAGTAATTTTTTTCATTGCACTTCAAGTAACGAAATTCTTCAAAACTGCTATAGTTTTTAATGCGAAATCAAGTTAAATACTTTTACTAACTTCTTATTCCAGCTACCTCGAATAAGTTTAGCTAGATTACTTCAAAACAGATATGTGTGATGCTATCATATATTCTTGTATTTATTTCTCATGCTCCTTTAGATTCTCTAATTACTAAGTTGAAAAATTACAAAGTTTATCTCATTTGAATTCAGTATATACTTCTGCCAAGATTTATCAGCATTTTATTATATTTTAAATTGTTGCAGTTGTATTTTTTCACTGTATAACAATAATGATTTTTATTAATATATTATCTTCTTATATAATTGGATTGTTTGTCTACATATTTAACGAATTGTTTATCATTTGTGTAAACTGTTAGAGAAAAATTTTCTATACTTGTGAATATGGGATGAATATTCCCAAGCGTAATTTTTTTAATTCTTTATATAGGAAATAATTGAACAAAATTATTTTTCAGTATAAACACAATGGTTAATCACATATTTATTAAAATTCCATAATGATAGCTGCCTTTTTATAATGCAACTTAATACATATATAAACAGTATGCATAGTACAGAAAAAAACCAGTAGCTTTTAGCATGACTTTAAAAAGTGTAATGTAATTATAGTATATACGATCTCTTTATATATGGTCAAATCTAATTAATTTTTTAAAATCAAGAACAGAAAAAGAAAATGTTCTTATGATCTTAATTCTTGTAATTAAAATTTTAAGGGTATAATGGTTTAATAGTTCTCAAATTAGGTAATAAAGAAATGTTTAAATAATAATTTATGTTAAATGAGTAGAAATATTTTGCCTGGATATCATTAAGAAACGTGATAGAAAACTTTTTAATTAAGGGATTTGAAAAGAATTTCTGAAAAATATTTAGAAAATTATTTCAAAAACTATTACTCGATCAGGTCTAAATAATTATTTTCAAATTAAATAGTATTAATTGAAGATAATATAAAATGTTTAAATCAAAATATAAGCATAGTGGAAAATAATAGTAAAGACTAAAATGTTAACCTATGACAACAGAATTTCTTTTTAAAAAAAATTGCACCTATCAAGACAAAATAAGTACCAATTAGTACAAAATGTCAATAAAAAAGCTCAAGTTCTCTATTCTTAGTATTAGCTTCTACTTGTAAAAATATGTATTTAATAACAAGAAAAAATAAAAAGATAATTATTTAAGATAAAGTATGTTTGGTAAATTAGACTTATAAATCATAGCGAGGGAATGTACATTGTTTGAAATTTCTGCTGCAAAAGCAAGGTTTATTTTGCTGTTCCATCAACTGTATTTCCTACAGCAGTTTTTAAAAACACTGCTGTGATATATCATCTTTAAATATCCCTGCTACCACCCACCCAGTATGGTGGTTATGACACTCGGCTTGTAATCGAGTGGGTTCGGGTTCGAATCCCGAGAAAGGTGTGGATGTATCTTAGGTAAAAGAAATTGGACTTTCGCCTGAAATCGAATTCCGTCTCGAAAGGAAAGCAGCGTACCTCTTCTGTTTTTTGCTGGGATCATAGTTTGTAATAAAATCTGTATTCTTCTGTGATTGTTTTATATGTTTCTGTTCATCTATCTCGCGTCTTTCGTATGTATCCCAGTAATAAACACACAACAAATATCCCTACTTATAAATCAGATGTATAGATTTATATGCATAATAAGTTAAAAAATTTTAATTCACTGATTTAGTTACATCCTACACAAGAAACCAAAAAAAAAAATCTGTTTCTGCAAGGAACAAATAAAATTGCGTTGCTAAAAATCTCAGAAAAACTGATAATATGTCTTAATGTACAGGAGTGAGAACCGTAAAAAATACATATATTTTTTTCCTGACTTCAGCACCCTAAAGTGACATACATATTCTTTTTACTTTGAGAAAGAAGTTAGAATGTATTATAGCAACATAATATTTAAAAAAAAAATTGCAGAATTCTTAAGATTTCTAATTAACTTAATTTAAGTTTGGTAGCTATTAATTTTTATAATAACTGTTAAAATGTCGGATTCATTAATACAGTTACTCTCAGATCAACAAAAATATTACAAAAAATTTTACATTTGATTAAGCTATTCTGTATTTCTGCAACATGATCAATGATAGATGGTACATATTGAGTGCTTAGTTCAGTCATAAATATTTGAACAGTTATAGCTATCATCTAATTTCATTTTTGAGATAATCTCAATAAGTGCTATCGAAAATCGTTGCATTTATTTTCCAAGATACTTCTAGATTGTTTTCTTAGATATTTATTTGCTTTTTCATGTCAGGGTATTTTTTTATCTTCATTATTTTGTTAACTAATTTGCATTGTATTAGGTGGGGAAATACATATATCATTCGAGAAAAATTCCTGAGCTACAATAGGTTATATTTAAATATAAAATTTCTCTCTATAAAAAAAAAGACCTCAGATAACTTTGAATAATTTATCTTTTGACAGTTTTATTAACATAAACAAATTTTAAGCGATGCTAAAATTTCATTTGAAAAAAGTACCTGTTTGTAAAGATTGTGCTTTATTTGGAGAACAGTACTTTGAATGAGAACTTCTTTAAAAATTTAAAAAATGGAATGCATGATATTTTAAAACATTCTAAGAGTTTAATGATAGCTTACAAATGTGTTATTTAAATACATTAATTTCCGAAGAAATCAGGTAAACATTTTCTAAAAAATGACAGTAGAAAACAGCTTCCTTTCAAAAATATACACACAATCTTAGAATTCTCAGCCTGAAAGAAAAGTTATTTTTATCTTAAAAAATGCATTTCCTCTATTAAAAAGATTCTTAGAGTTTTTATAAGAATGAAAAATTCTGTTTTGATAACTCTCTCTCTCTCTTTTCACATCATATTTTCCATTTTAAACAGATATTCATTATTTTTTTATCTTACAGTTTACTATAAAGTTATCGAAAAATATGCTCAAAACATAAATCAAAACATTTGTAGATCAACTGACGTTTATTTTTATATAAAAGGAAGATTTTATCTTCATACGACCATTTCTAGAAAGAAATCATTTGAAAAAAAAAAAGGAAATATGGAGGCATTTTTCAATTCCCGTAACCAAAATTGAAAATATTATTTGAACTTAATAAAATACATTTTGCCGTCGAATATCTCTTAAAAATTGAATCCAGTCTCCCTCGCTATTCTTTTACTTACGCATCCCTCAATATCACATCAATGATTTCTACTTAATAAAAAAAAGAAGAAAAAAGAACTCTATATACATAAAACGAAAACAAATTTTTATCGCTCCTTTATTTACCGAAGAGAGGATATCTATACGCATAACCATATCAATCTCCTTTAAAGCGTTACAATTCTCGTACTGCCATTCCTAAGTTAGTGCAATGAATTTAAGATAAAGAAATAAAATTAAATAATAGGGAAAGGGAGAAAGGCATAGGTTGATAAAAAAAAAAAGCGTAATATAACGAAAAGCGTATCGTTTCAGGAATGGCATAAAAATCGGAAAATGGAATTGAAACAAATGCATTACTTTGCACCCAGAAGTCAGATCTCAAACCCGTTACAGCTTATTTGTTTATCTAGCCAGAGGAATATAGATAGGAAAAAACTAGGAAAAAGGCACTTTCACCTTTCCCATCCCTTCTATGCACGTATATATCCCTCATCTCCGGATAGATGGGTATACACTCGGGATAGCATATTGGCGTTCCGCATCTTTCGAATTGGGTATGCATGCACACACCCACACAAACAAAACGCCACGCCGAGTTATTACATTTCTTCTCTCTTTCTTTTTCCCTTTTTCCCTTTTTTCACTCGTTCCCCCTCCCTCTTCCTTTTTTCCTTTCCATTTCTTTCCCCTGCTCTGACTTTTGATTTAGACACGCCGTTCTAGATGACAGAACTGATGAAAACATAACTTATTCCGGATCTCATCTCCGTGCGGCGATATGGAAAAGACTTTGTGTCGGGGTGGGAGTTGTGCGCTCTAGACGGACTGATTAATACGGGAAGAAAAAAGACTCTGCTGCCGCTGTTCGCTATTTTTTTTTTTACCCCTAGGGGGGTTAGACTATGCCATCAGATTCCATTAGACGCAGCTTCTGTCATCACCTGGAGAAGTTTTCTTGGCGACTGCTTTCGCTTTTCTTTCTTGCAAATCGAAACACGCAACTCTATTTTCCAGTCGGAACGGATGCTTTTTCTCCCACTGACTGTTTTCGTATTTTTCTACAAGAAATGATTGGATGAGGTCGAGCGGTTTACGATGGAGTGCGTAATCACGTTTTTCACCCAACCACTCAATCCAGTCGCTGCAGCTCTAAACAGATGTTATTTTATTATTCCCTGCTCCCTAGCACTTTTTCCCCTTATTTCTTTAGTTCTTTTCTAATAGTGCTTCGCAGGAAAAATAAATTTCTAGCGCCTTAAGTCCTGCAGGGCTGAAATAACACATGGGATGGAGTTGACGAAATCGTGCGTAAGAAGGAGGAATAGAAAGATATTAATTTTGATTGGTTACAAGAGTCAAAAGGAGGTTTCATTTGGGTAGCATTTTAATTCGTTCAAGCAGTTCTGCTGACAAAAAAGTAAAATTTTTTGATGAAGAGGGGGAAAAACAGCATGTGATGATGTTTTTCTAATTAACTATGAATGAATAAATCCTTCGACAAATAAGACATCAAACAAATAATGTTAATTTTACTTTAATTAAGATCAATTAGAAAGGAAATTTCAATACAAAGACCCAAGTCATCATTTAATAATAACTTACAATTAATACAATTTTTGAAGTTTTATATAAACTTTCATTTTCAATGATTATTATTTTCAATTTAGAATTTTTTCTTAGTTACTTAGAATCTTAAAATAATCAAATGGAAGTTTTTTTATTACGGAAGAATTAGGAAGATCAAATCTTTTTATTTTTACTGTGTAGTGATAAAATGAGATTTAATTTAATTTGAAAAATAAAACATGACTTAAAAAAACCACTGACGTAGATATTGATTAATGAAAAGAAAATTACTACTTTTTTTTAATTACTATAAAAGTTTCCTTTTTAAACTGGTACTAAAACTACATTTAATCTATAAACGCTTTTTTACAATACGCAGTTAATAATCAAACTGATATGCGTATGTATTATTCGTAGGCATATATTTTGAATAAATATAAATAATGAACATAGATTTGTATATTGTTTCAAAATGAATTGCTGACATATAATTTAAAATCATTTAAATAAACAGATCTGCCTTCTCTCTCACTTAAATATTTAAAAAAATTACGGATTGAAATTTAACTTGATTTTACTCAAATGAAATTATTTAAAAAACCTAAAGAAAAATGAGTTATTTTTTTAAAAAAATTCTGGTTTCCACTTCTTTACCCTCAGTTTCATTTGTGAATCAATTTGGGGAAAATACTTGACTCTTCATTTTGATTCAGTCTTAGAGAAGGTGTTTTAAGTATGCGATCCACTGCATCCAAATTCTCTATTTTGCTGCATTAATCTAGTCTCTGGTGCATCTTTTTAATTCTCATAATTTGAATTCCAAATTGGTGAAATGAATCCCTTCTATCTTTCAAAAACATTGTGCTTACATTTCTTGTGTTTCGAATTCAAAAATAGCAAAACATATTCTCTTTGTTTTTCCTAAATCTCTGCTTGTATGGTTTGCTTTTGAATTATGAATCTGTAAGACATTTTTTCAATTAAAAATTCATGTGAATAGAATATATATATATATATATATATATATATATATTACCTTTTAAAATTCAAAATAGAAAACCCCTTTCAAGAAATTCCAGCAATGACTTTTTTTCATCCAATATGTAATAAAAATAATCTCTGAAATCTCAGACTTGGAATCTTAGGAAGTGGATATGCTGTGAGTGTGTAACAAAAAAAAAATAAATAAATAAAAAAAATAAAAAAAACAATTTCACATATAATTATCAAATTGGAGTTATAAAAGCTTTCTGTTACAAAAAGGGGGGCCTGGAATTTTTAGTTGATGTTTAATTTAGTTTGTTTGCTTGTACGAAATTATTAAGTTATTTATATTTTTTTTAAATTTCTGTATTTTTTTTTCATTATGAAGAAATCCTTCTCAATTTACTTAACTTGGTTTATATTTATAAATCACATTTAAATGCTTTTTTATTCATTATTCATTAAAAAAGCAAAAGTACAATCTTTACCATGTTTACATTAGACTCGTGTCACTGAATTGAAAAGTATTTGATCGTCACAAACACTTATTTAATGGTAATTCCAGTTATATATACATAATTAAATACAAAAAATAATTTGTCTCTCTAATCTTTATTCATTTGACTTTCCACTGAAATGAATAATGATGAAACATGAAAAAATTAATTTTTATCATCATATGTATTTGATGATGAAAAGCAGCGTGAATGTCT